GAGAGAGAGAGAGAGAGAGAGAGAGAGAAATATCTACACGATTAGTGAAGTAATAATGGTAATAATGATCTACACAGTTTCCTTCAAATCTGCTCAATTCCAGTTCCACTCAACTGTTATAATTAATATTTCGTGTTTTTACAAATAAAATCTCACTTTCGTATTTTTTATATAAAGTTTCATGTAGACCATGAAGGGAGTAAATTTCTCATAAATAAATTGAGGTAAGCCCTATAAGTTCCCAAAATAATGCTTTGTTTGTGATTTGGGCCTAGGCTAATCCAGAAAAAGCCACAAAATGTGAGCATCCACATTGGTGACATAAACAACACATTGTAACTATTTAAGTGTTTGTACGATCTTCCCCATTCAAAGCCTTCTGCTGACCCGCTGGGCTGCATAAACCTGCGCCGGGTTGACCGGTTTAAGCTGTTTTTTAACGTTGAAATGCTTTTTGACCGGTATTGAACTCCAACGAATTCATACCTCTAAATGAACCGGTGTGCTGGCCGGTTTCCGGCCAATCCAGTCCGGTTTTCATAACACTGGTTATAACAAAATAATAACAAATTTTATAAGATAATCTATTTTAATTTATAACATAATAATTTCTACTAACATAATTGCTTTAATAAATAAAAATTACCTATTATTTTTTTAATAAGATCAGCCGGCGATTGCGGCCACGCGTGGTCGCGGTCGGCTGCATATTGCGACCGCCAATGGTCATGGCCGGCTTGGCCTGACGGCTGCCACTGCGAGCTGCTGCAATCGCTGGCCAGTCGATGGCGGTCCGACCAACCAACCGGCAAAAATTTCGTACCTCGTCGTCGCCCATTTTCGCTCGAAATCGCCGCCTATTCAGAGAATATCTATTTTTTTGAGTTTTTTGAAGAAAAAAAATGCGACAGGCAAAACGGTCTAAATGGGGCGGTACGTAGTGATAGAGGGTGATATTTAATTTTTTTTTTTTTTTTTCACAGCGATAGATTTTATAGCAAAAAAACACAAACTTACAAACTCGCACCCAACCATACAGCCGACTACAACAACCACATGGTCGAATGCACCAGCTTCTATTTTAGACGCTAAATTTTGTAAAATGATTTGATGAGCAATTCATACGAACCGCTCTTACGGTGACCTCGAACCGATTTCACATCCAGAGTTCTTATAAAACACGTTGGGTTTGTTTCCATCAGTAGACCTCCAACGATCAAGCCACTTCTCGGAGTGTGAGAAAATAGAAGTGTGTAACTATATTGCAAAGCTTATAGTGTGTAACTTTCTCCTTTCATACCTAATACCTATACATAGTGAACTCTTAACTCGTTGCCAAAACTCTACCCAACTCAGCTAACGGTTTGCCTGGGCTGCCCTAAGGTCTGTCTGGCTGTTATCTTCTGCTCGTAGGGTCTAAATCATAACTAGATAGTCCTTTACGTGTAATTTTATCAATAGGTTCACCAACTTACTATCCGCATATCTTCAATTTTATGTGATCCATAAGTCCCCACATGCCAAACATACATACAATTCATAGGTCTTGATATGCAAACTATCAGTAAATCCATCAATCGACTAACACTAAGTCTCTTAGGTATGTCCCCAGTAGGTCCTCTGACCTACAACCCCTTACATACTGTCAGTAGGTATGCTGCAAGTAGGTCAGCCAACCTACTAAGTCTCCTACATATACTGCCAATAGAACCACTGACCTACAGTCCCTACAATGGCCGACTTATTCGAGTTAACTAGAGCCACTTCACCTAAGCTAACTAGGGCTACTTTACGCGAGCTAACTAGGAACACTTTACCCAAGCTAACTATTCCGTATGTTATATCAAGATGCGTAGTTGTTACAAACCGAATGTTGATTACATTAGCATCCTATGAATTTAATTGTTCAGTTCTTATAGAAGAATTAATAATTTTTTTTAAAAAAAAATACAACGTTAAGCGAAAAGATTAAAGCCAAAACAAGAATATCTCTTTCTGCAGACAAATATGCTTCGTATAGTGCTAATGGGTGTGTGTGTCTTGTACCCAAAGATACAACAACAAATGTCACGAGAATTGTAGCACACCAGACTTTATAGCTTCGGCGAAGTACAACATATTTGAGAATTGAGCACTATCTATGATGCTCGAGTCTTTTAGAAGAGTGTAAGGATACAAATGTATATTCTGTGTGTTTGTTATATAAAATATATATTTGTTATATTAAATAAATCTTTAGTTAATCGTGTCTTAATTAGAAAAATTAATAAATATATTTCTGATATAAAATATAAAATATCAAAATTAACTAACTAAAACATTTGAGGTTCTTTTCTTTAAAACCCTGAGAAAGCCCCACATTGTGTCCACAAACAAATTGGCTATCATCCAATCATAGTACAATCCTACCCCAGCAAATTTATTCGACACACATCTGAAAATATGTTATGGAATTCCAACCTTCTAATATTGGCCAATCAAAATATATATATATATATATTATTTGGCAACATATTTCAACATTTATGCCAAACAATAACCAA